AGAAAACTTGAGCTAGAAACTGCTAATCTAGTTTGCTTGGCCTAACCAATATCTATGTATCTGCAAGTGCTTTCACCCTATAGTTTTGCTGCTCTGAATCAACCGTCTTTAACCCTAATGACAAAAAACTAAAAGTGATCCATCTTTACTGTTTGATAAAGCTATAGTAAAAATTTTAGACCGATAACTCACGTGACTTGTTGCAAAAAGCTTGGTCAAAATTGAGCGATTTTTTGTTGAATAACTTTGCACATGTGGCTTATATTTAGACCACATTTTACATGTAGTTGTAAGTTGTAAAGATCTATCAGTGTACCAAATTTGAAAAAATCCATGAAAGTTAAGTGTGTTTTTCTATCTAATTAAGTTTCCGTACTGGAAATTGTATATCTCGCGTGTTTCTTAATAGATTGGCTTGAAAGTTGGTATGTGGTGTAAGGTTCCACTGAAAATATGTGATAGTTTGGATAACCACAGTCTGGGCTACTGAAAGTGGAAAATTGCTAAACTATCACTCCCAAAAACGTTATCTTTTCTAAGCACAATTACATGTAACAAAATTTTCCTGCATAAAAATAAGATTATATTTCACGAATATTAGGCATTATGCACAGCTGTTTTGATAGATTAAGAAAACAGCACGTTCTTACACTCCGGGTTTGAGTGAAGACATGCTCAAGAGAATTTCCGTGCTGTATGGCACAGCTCGCCATAATGATCACTGGTAGAGTAAATATCACGGCTGGTAATCCAGTAAAATCCCGCATTTCTTAGTTGAATTGATAATTGTACGCAAAGTTTGAATACAAAGATAAAACTCCATTATTAAATTTCATCTACCTTAAGGTATTAGACATAACAAAACAGAGTTTCGAAGTGTAAAAGACTAATCACAGGAGCGACTGAGAGTGTTCGTCTTGTTTTATTCTTCGACATCAAGACGTCGTGCAGCCAAAACAACCTGCAGGACGAACTGTGTATTATTAAATTACTTTTGAGTGTTAACGACTGAGTAGGACGTGACTCTTGAGTGTTAACGACTGAGTAGGACGTGACTCTTGAGTGTAAGTTTTGAGTGTTAACGATTGAGTAGGACGTGATTCTTGAGTGTTAACGACTGAATAGGACGTGACTTTTGAATGTTAACGACTGAGTAGGACGTGATTCTTGAGTGTTAACGATTGAGTAGGACGGAGTAGGACGTGACTTTTGAGTGTTAACGATTGAGTAGGACGTGACTTTTGAGTGTTAACGACTGAGTAGGACGTGACTCTTGAGTGTTAACGACTGAGTAGGACGTGACTTTTGAGTGTTAATGATTGAGTAGGACGTGATTCTTGAGTGATAACGATTGAGTAGGACGTGACTTTTGAGTGTTAACGACTGAGTAGGACGTGACTCTTGAATGTTAACAACTGAGTAGGACGTGACTCTTGAGTGTTAACGACTGAGTAGGACGTGACTTTTGAGTGTTAACGATTGAGTAGGACGTGATTCTTGAGTGTTAACGACTGAATAGGACGTGACTTTTGAATGTTAACGACTGAGTAGGACGTGATTCTTGAGTGTTAACGACTGAGTAGGACGTGACTTTTGAGTGTTAACGACTGAGTAGGACGTGACTTTTGAATGTTAACGACTGAGTAGGACGTGATTCTTGAGTGTTAACGATTGAGTAGGACGTGACTTTTGAGTGTTAACGACTGAGTAGGACGTGACAGTCGTTAACACTCAAGAATCACGTCCTACTCAATCGTTAACACTCAAAAGTCACGTCCTACTCAGTCGTTAACACTCAAGAATCACGTTCTACTCAATCGTTTACACTTAAAAGTCACGTCCTACTCAGTCATTAACACTCAAAAGTCACGTCATACTCAGTCGTTAACACTCAAAAGTCACGTCCTATTCAGTCGCTAACACTCAAGAGTCGCGTCCTACTCAGTCGTTATTGTTCAACTCCTAATGTTTATTCTAAATTTGAAAACATAAATTCAAAGTCTAGTATTCTTGGCCAGTTGCTAACTTTGGAGGCCTTGAATCACAACCTTCTGTTTCAACAGAAAAATTGAAACTTTAAGGAAAACAAAACTTTTATAAGATTCAGACCCCAATCGTATTTACGTTTTGGTAAATTTGGTTTCAACAACCCGTTTAACGAAACAAGCGCCGGTACTTTATCTTTACAGGTTTGTTTGTGAAGTTTAGAGGAGTTACTTATCAGTTGTTACTTGCAACAGTATTACATATTTTGATGTTAAACTGTTATGATAAAGTGCTAAATACTTTCGGCTTCTTTGATTTTGTTAATATCGTAACCCCCCCCCCCAAAAAAAAAAAAACAAGAAAGAAAACAGTCTTCTAAAGTGAATTAACAACACACCACAATTTTCAAATATATGAAGTACACATAGTTAATATCATACAACTCATTGTTTGTTATCATAAAAATAAAAATGATTTTGATAGAACATATATGAGTAATTAAGCAATAGCCATAACGTATTAAATAGAAACGATGTATAAAAAATTAGGTGAACATATTTATTATTACTTAATCGTAAAGTAATAAGAATGTCTCTTCATAAAATTAGCTATTATAAGATCTTATGAAAAGTAAATAAAAATTTAATCGTAGCCAATCCCACTATATCTTCCATATTTAATAATACACAGTTCGTCCTGCAGGTTGTTTTGGCTGCACGACGTCTTGATGTCGAAGAA